TGTCCTTTTTGCCCACCCAGCGACGAGAGCCAGAGGACAATCAAATTAACGATTGTTGTTTTGACATTCGTGGGTGTTCCCTTTCGATAGCCAAATGGGTGATAAGATCAGGTGGCAAAACCTGGCTTAGGACTCGCTTTGACAAATTATCTTCAGCTCGAGCTGTAAAATTTTGCAGTCGGACAAAAACTACACGAAATTCTATAGATTCTATTGAAGAGATTGAATTGTCATAGAATATGAGCAGGAAATGGCTTAGGCAGCACAAATCCTTTGAGAAAAACGTAAGACAAGCCTAAGATCAAGAAACATAAGAATTTGTTGAAATAAGCAAATACATGAAAGAATAAAAACGAATAACAAAGAACTTAATAAAAAGAACAAAGAACGTTAAAGTATAAGAAAATTCAGGACAAAAGCTGAAGTAAGACAACAAAAATAACGTAACGTATGGCATACAACGTAACGCGTTAGAAAGATAAGCCTAATAGGATGGATTACGTACACGTTATGGATGTAAAGTAGGGCAGCGAAAGTATCGTAATGCAACGTTACGGAATAATACGTAAACGACGTAAGAAAAAGGACATAACGTAACCTTACGTACCATAACAGGAAAACCTAAAACACGCAAGACAGTTTATATATACCCAAAAATATTATAGGAAAAGTCTATCATACCCTCCACTCGTAAGGGCGTTCAATGAAAGAGGCGAGCGAGTTGTTTCCATTGGGTCGCGTCGGATATTATTGTATAATCGACGAAAGCAGCATAAACCATAATAAACCAAGGCCAAGTCGAGACTCGACACGCATTTTTTCGACACTTTTCCCCCACTTTGGTCAGCCTAAAACCTGGTTACGAAAACTAAAAACCAGAAAAACGAAAGAAACACCAACTGCGGGTAAAAATGAAATAAAATAAAATAAAGTAAAGAAATGAAGAAGGGAAGAGGTAAAGACATCGAATCAAAATAATAAATAAACTCTTTATGAATTATCGCTGAACTAGTTTCAATGGGCGCGTGACAGACGAACAAAAGAAAAAGAAAAAGAAAAAAAAAATACATTACTAAATTTTATGCGTATGCTAAAAGGTAAATGGAAATCGAAAAATCGTAATTCGAAATCTTTGTTCGAAAGTTCGAAATTTTGGTCAATTGATGACGACAACAAATCGACACAAATATTCACACACATACATACAAGTATACATGTGTGTTTGTGTGTGTGTGTGAAATGCGGAAAATAGCGCACGCTCCAATCTCACTCATTTCGTTACATGGATCAGCCACAAGAGATTATGAAAAATTTCAAATGTAAATTAATAGAAACGAAACGAGACGAAACACACAAAAAAAACCCCAAAGTAAAAAGTTGCAACCGAAACGGCAATTGCTGTTGCTCTTTCTATTGCTGTTGTGCGCAAAGTGATTACGAAAAGAAAAAAAAATAGGGGAAAAAAACTCTCAAAGTTTCACTCCATTCCTCGGCACGAGTGCGGAAGTTAAGTTATCCCACGGCGTTTGGGCAGCGCTCTCTCGCAATGTGTGAATGTATTTGGACGCGCTTACAACTCCATTTGTCTGTCTGCCCTCTCCCGCACTCCCCCTCGCTCTCTCCGCTTACACACTCAGCTTTGTGGCTGTGTGGATTTGAAGCCTGTCCAACTCGTTCCACATGCGTGCGAGTTTATTTTAAGACGCATCGATCAGCAGCGCAGTTAGTCGAAGCAGCGCTCGTAGCCAATAAAATCAATTAACACTTTCGGTAGTGGCGGTGGCGGCGGCATCGGCATCGCTGCCCACGCACTGCTCGCGTCGCAGCTACAAAAGCTTCAAACTTCAGTTTAGCTTTTAAATATTGTCAAACATAGAAGAAGAAGCTGACGATGAGCCATGAGAATGCGAATGAGAATGAGAATGTGAATCAGAATGAGAATGTGAATTCAAATTCGAATGAGATGACGTTGCGGTCGCTGTCGATGTCAGCGTCGCTGCTTGCCTTGGTCGTCACACACGCACACGTACACAGATGTGCATGCGTGTGTATGAGTATTTTGCTTTGTTGCTAGTGAAAATTGGGTTATTGTCAGAGAGCCATCCATTCATTGAAGCGCTAACAGAGCGTGGATAGAGAGTTAGAGAGCGAGGAGGGAGTAGGGTGTGTGCTGTGAGGTGTTGTGTTTTTATTGAACTTTTTGTTTTATTTATGGAAATTAGTGTCAAGTAAATCATGTGCATGCGCTTTTGCACACACACATACATATGCATACACAGAGCGATAGGAATTTCTATTAACAGTTTATAGAAAATCGATTAATTGTAAGCTAGCTCTTCACCTTTGTGAAAGTCGATATTAATAATCGATAAGCATTGAAGGGGCCGGGCGGAGGCGGAGGCGGAGGTGGAGGCGGGGCTAGCTCAACAGCAAACCAAAACGAAAACCAAATCGCATCGAAAGGTGAACCAGTTATGTTATTTCCGCTATTGAAGGAAGTGGTCAAAGGCCAATGGACGTGGAATGGCCTTTAATATTATATTATATAGCGTATAAATGTATGTATATGAATAATCAAACTGAACTTGAGTCGCTCTCGCCCAATAAGGCGCGTTTGCTTGCTGTGTGGGAAGTGGTGGCTCGTACGCTGATGAGAATCTAATTTATGTATAGATGTAAAAAAAACAACAAAGTGAAAAAAATATGTTTTAATTGAAAGAACCTTAAAGAAAAGACAGACGCGCAAAATGGCTTTCTTAATTGAATTTGCTCGACAGCAGAAATTAGCCAATTCCAGTGGCAGAGACAGAGACAGAGGCCAAGTCTGTCAGCGTTAAAGACTTTTCCTGCCCATCTATCGATAACTCAACGTAATCGCAACTCTCGCCCAGCTTTCAATAGCAATAGCGCTGTTCGGCTTTCGTCTTTCGAGTTTTCGGCCTTTGCAACTTCAAAGCAAACGACGCATAACTGTCAAATTTTCACACATTCAAATGATGGCCAGACCCGACTAATGGGCAACAGATTGGCAGGCGCTGCTGAGAGAGACAGAGACAACAGACTTACAGTAGCTGTCGTCGTTGTAGTTGATGTGTGGCCCGAGCTAAAGGACATGCGAACCACACACGATGCCCCTGCGGCCGATGCTAATTTGCACGCCATAAATGAAACGAATGTGTTGAGTGGGCAAAGCGAAGCGAAGAGAGAGCGGCGAGCCAGCGAAAGAGAGAGAATGGTGGAGTTAAGTGATGAGCCGGCTGGCTGCTTCTATTTGGGTGGGCCACGGCAACGGCAACCGCTGAAGACGAAGACGAAAACTGAGACGAAGAAGAAGAAGACGACGACGGCTGCAAACGACGTGACATGCGTTGCCGACAACGCCCCTGGGCTTATACATAGTTACGTGTACATAGTATGTACCCATGCCTATGTACACACATACATACATAGATAGATACACTTGCAGAAAACTAAGTATGAAAATTCGATTTTCTTTGAGTTGCAATTACAGTCTAATAATAATAATAATAATGAATAACAAGGTGTGCAAAACTATGCTCTTCCCCTTAGTGTATACACATAGCGTAACGTAATGAAACATAGCGTAACGTAATGAAACATAACGTAACGTAATGCCATTATACACCCCACGTAATGCCATTATACACCCCCGAAGCAAAGTCACGCGAGTTACCATACGAGCGGCATAGGGAAGAGAGAGCATAAACGATATGTGCAATCGGAGCTGAAGCCGTCGCGCACTTTGATGTAAAGTAGGAAGCGCCGATAAGCCAGCCGCAACAGCAGCAGCAGCACACAGCAAAGGCAACGGCAATGGCAACGGGCAGCAGCAAGGCCATCGCGGCGGTTCAATTGAAGAGCTGCTGGTTCTGTGACTAAATGATTAAGGCTTATCTGCTGCTGGAAGGACCTCCAGCTTGGCCTGGCTGTCCCATCAGCCATCATCATGCCATGGCCTCGTTCGCCTCGCCCTCGTCATCAGCGTCACACACACACTCACTCTCACATACACACACGCACACTTGAATACATACAATTATCAGCTGCCGTTGGCCCTCAGCTAGCTCTCGTTCTCGCTCTCGCTCTCGCTCTCTCATACGCTCGTTTGCTCGCTCGATAGCTGGCGCACTCTCTCCGCAGTTGCGCTCAGTGGTTTTTCAGTGTCGCCGCCGACTTTGCTTCCTTTCCCATACGCTAATCGACCTCACACAAAGCGCCCCACCAACGCCTCTCACTTGACTAACCGTGGAGAGTGTAGGTGTAGCTATGTGTGTGCCCTGACTAGTCTAAATGTGTCTGTGTGTGTGTGTACATTTCGACACAGTACGTCGTACTGCTGCAGCGTCGATTTTGTTACATAGTGAAACGAAACGAAAAATGAAACGCTGCGAGCAGCGCTGTCGGCGTCGACACCAAAAATTCACCGAGCATTGAAATCGGACAGCCCGCTCCGCTCACTCAGCTGCAGCAGGCAGCGAACAGCGAGCAGTGAGCAGCAAGCAGCAAGCAGCAGGCAGCGACGTCGACAGCAGTCACCCGAACCGTTGCTCAGTTGGCTACACTGAGTTCAGTTCTCCGCAAACTTTCAAGCGAAGCGGTTGTGGTTCGTTGTCAATTGCGTGCGTTAAACATAGAAAAAAAGTAAAATAAAATAAAAGCAGTTGACGGCCAAATTAGCAGCTGCTACAGCAACAACAACAACAGGGTTTCAATAAAAAGTGTTGCAATAAATATGCATTAATAAAGTTTCGTTAAATTAGAAAACAAATTTAAAGTAATCTAAACGGCGAACGGTTGAAAAAAAAAAGTCCCCAAAAATTAGATAAATCTAAATAATTAATTTTGATACATGTGCTTTGTGCTTTTGTGTGAATAAATGTGAATACATAACAAGTTTCTAAGCAAATTAAGCAAAGCAAAAAAGAAGAAAAATAAAAAGAGGAAAAACAACAACAACAACAATAATTGAGCAAATTTTCAATTATAAAATGTACGAGCCGTATGTAAAAATAAAAAAAAAGCGAAATGTGCCCGAAATCTATCAAAATGAAAATCTTGTTGTCGATGTGAATTTGGAACAACAGCAGCAGCAGCAACAACAACAACAACACCAACAGCAGCAACAGCAACAACAAGAACACCACCACCAACAACAACAACAGCAGCAGCAACAAATTTCAAGTGATAATTGTTGCTGTCAAAGTGGAACGCAAAATGTTGCCGCTGCCAGCGCTTTGAGCAGCGCGTTGGCAGAGACGCCAGCAGCGAGCAGCAGCAGCAGCAACAACTGCAGCCGCTTGCAGCAATTGATATCAACGCCTCCAGTATTACTGCGCAGATCGTCGCTAACGACGACGCAGGCATCGACGTCGACGTCAACGTCAACGTCAACGTCAGCATCGGCGTTGCCACAACACCCACACGCTGTTGCTGTGAGCACGCCAACGTCAACGCCGCCACCACCGCCGTCGCCACCATCGCCGCCGCACCAGCAGCAACAGCAACAGCAGCAGCAGCACCCGCAGCAACAAGCGGCAGCAACTTCAGTTTTGCAACAACATTTGGGTCACCTGAATTACGAAAGTGGAGCAACTGCAGCAGCAGCAGCAGCGGCAGCAACAAGAAGTGGCACAGCAACACTGGCGCAACATTTGGCAACACCCAGCAGCATACTGCAGGCTGCTTTCAGCAACAACAACAACAACAACAACAACAGCAGCAGCAGCAGCAGCACAAGCAGCAGCAACAGCAACTTACAAAACATTTTAACGCGCGCACAAAGTTCCTCCTCCTCCAGCAACAATTGCAGCAGCGCCTGTGCCGGCAACAGGCACTACAACGGCAACAGCAGCAGCAGCAGCAGCAGCAGCAGCAACAGCAACAGCAACAGCAACAGCATCATTGCCAGCCGCCTCTTTGGACCCACCTCATCCATCGCCAGCTGCAGTAGCAGCAGCAGCAGCAGCAGCAGCGCCTCCTCCAGCTCGCTGTCGCCGCATCATCATCTGCATAGCCATCATTCCGCTTTGACCAATTCAATTACGAATCGCATTAATCAATCGATACGTCGGCATCTCAATCAGCAGCAACATCACCAACACAGCAGCAGCAGCAGCAGCCACAACTCTGCCTCATCCTCAGCGAGCAATAGCTCCAGTTCTTCTTCTTCTTCTTCTTCATCGTCGTCGTCATCATCGTCTCCCTCCTCATCGCACTATCAGCAGCAGCAGCAGCCGCATTTTAATTGCGCTCATCCTGCACAGCAGCAACATCAAAGCCACAGCAACCAGCATCACCTCCAGCAACACCAACAACAGCACCACCAGCAGCAACAACAGCACCACCAACATCATCATCATCATCATCACAGCAACAACAACAACAACAACAATCAGCAACAACAACAACAATCTCCACTGTGCCTAGTATTATTAGTTAAATGCCCCAATTCGAAGGAGTTTTGTAACGCCGCTGCAAATTTCTGTGATAAAAGGTAAATAAACTCCACACACAGTCATATGCATAAGTATGTGTACACCTGAGGGAGGAAGAATTAAATGGAAGAATTAAACGGAAGTGGAACAAAGTTTCAATTCCATCAAATTAAAAATGTTTGTTTACTAAAATCAAAATTGAATTTTGTTGAACTATAGCAAAAACGCCATCAAATAAATATATATATACATACATAAATACATGTATGTATGATAATAAAATATAAAATATATTGATAAATAATATTTCGATATATATATGTATATATATATTTTAACTACAGTAAAAACTCAGTATGACTATCAATCAAAGAAAGTTTTTCAACATGCTCACCTTCAAACGGGAGTTTGGCTGTTTGTTCGCTCTAGCGCGCTTTTACTGTACTTTTACAGCACTGGCAATTCATGGCGCGCATCCTTGACTGGCTGCAAACAAAATATTTTGTTTGTACAAATTGTCAGTGCATTTACCAACATTATTTGCTGTGTTAATTTCGATGACTTGCACTTAAACACACACAAATATATACTTCTGTGTGTGCTTGTGTGTGTGTGTGTGCTAGTTTTGTTCGCAACCTCGGCGTAACCCACTTTTAATTGGTTAACGTTGTGTGTGACCTTAGTGAGTCTTGAGCGTGAGCAAAAGATTGAGGCAGCTGCTGTCAGTGTTGCAAAACGCAATTGTAAGGAATGCAATGTGGAGGAGCAGAAACACTAAACAGCTGTCCTCCTGGCGTTACTTACACACACATGCCTTCCTTTTTTTTTATCGAAATGGATCTGAAAATACTGCTGATTGAGTTTTTTTTTTTTTAGCTTTCTATGCACTTGTTGCTTTTAATTAGCCTTGGGAATTGTCGCGCCAGCGAAATCGGTCGATAGGCCCTGAAGCAGGCGATAACGATTTGTTATTTATATTTCCCTTTATTCAAGTGATTCATATGGCACAAGAGTGAAAGAGCGAGAGAGAGATAGAGTGAGGGAGAAATGGTGCGGTGCAGAGTAGCAGCACACACAAAATCACACACATATATCCCTATCGCACTCACACTCATGCATACGCTCTTGCCTTTTGTTCTCCCCACATTCGCACTCAATTCGATATGTGTTCTCTCTCGCTCACGCTCTCCCTCTTACTTAACGAAAGACTTGCAGAGTCATTTGCGTTCAGTAGCATATCGGAGTATTGTCTTCGCTTTGATTTTCGTTAATGGACAACAAAATGACTGAATTGTGGTTTAATTATGTGTGTGTGTGTGTGTTTTTTTTACACGCCCTCTGCGCAAACGGAACGGGAAGTTTGCTTCAGTGCGCCTGCGGCAAGGGTCAGACGTGACTTGACTCATTCTTCTGACCGCTAGCAACATGTGTCTAGAGCTTTTGCTTCTGCTTATGCAACTGTTATATGCATTTGTTGATCCTCTCTTCTGTCAACACTTTCCAAATACAATTCCCATGTGATATGTTGCAGCAACATGCTGTTAAGCCTTTGAAAAAATAAAAATATGAATTCGAATCGAAAAACGTTTCCAAAGCCAAAGCCAAAGCCAAATCCAGCAACTTTCTCATTTTAATATCAAATAAGTAAATGTATGTAGTTAATAAATTATTTAAATGTAGAAAAAAACGACTGCAAAACTTTCAAAAATTAAATTAATTAACAACGGCAGACATCGATTGCCGCAGCAACATGTTGCCAAGGCGTCGCTGTGGCTGAGTGATTCGCTTCGAGTTGCTTGAACTCTGCTCTGCTCTGCTCCAATCAGTGAAATGATTGCTACAAATATTTTTATTATTATTTTTGGTTTTCACTTTGCTTAACGCATTTCACCCAGCATCATCGCCTCTTTCACATTTTGAATTTAGAACAAATCTCTACAGCGAAATAAGTTTCTAAGCCAATAAAAAGATATTCAAAGAGCGAAAGAGGGAGTGAGAGGAAGATAGAGAGAGGCGCGAGTAGAAATCCGGCAACAACAACAACAACCAAAATGAAAGCACGACAAAAACAAAATGTGAAAACGCATGAAAGCCAATTTCTTGTCGTCGCCGTTTCTTTCGCTTCGTCGCAGTCGCCGCACAATTTGTTTAGAAAGTGCAGAGAAATGGTAAAAGCGGCAAAATGCAAACAAGCCAACAACAACAACAACAAAAACTATAGACAGTCCAAGTTTGGCCCCAAACTCTTGTGCAGTGTAAAAAATTGGGCACAAAATGTTTATTAATTTATTGATTTCATATCATGGCTCAACACGTTAATCATGTTTGCTAATGACGTACGCTAATGATAATCAAGCGTTTTTACTATTATACAATACAAGCGCCACGCGCTCGCCTCAACCGGGTAACGTGCTGACTGAACGTAAACCACAGCAAGAGAGAGAGAGACAGACAGAGAGCGCGAGAGCGAGAAGGCAGGCGGCATGTAAGCTGAGCTTTGACTGTGTGCGCTACGTCATCAAACGAGTTTTTTCGCCGCAAGCTTGGCGCGCGTTTTTGTTGTTGCTGCTGCGCTGACGATTACATAAAGCGCTGTCGTCGTTTCATCGTTATTCGTGCCTAACAACGATTTGCTCTCGTTTTACGTCGCCTGGCTTCGCTTACATTGCGGTCGGGTGAAATTCGCAGTCGCAGCCGCAGCCGCAGCTGACGTCTGTTTCTGACGCCTACACGCCTGCGCGCTTACAGTGCACGCCATACAAATAAATACAGGCCAGGCCAGGCTTGACAACGGCTCATTTCAATGCTGCTTGTAATGCTTACGTAACGGAAATATGTTTTCCCTTTGTCATTATTCGTTATTAACGCAAAACTAGTGTAAACTTTCGTTTATGTTGCAATGCGGCCCGACAAAGTGTCAAAAATTGAGCAAGATCCCATCTACATAAGAGCAACAACTGTATTTTCCTTATCTGGATCTTTAGTCTCTATGAAAATAAACAGAAAATAGTTTCATTTTAGATGTAGAACACAGCAAATATTTGTTATCTTCTTCTTCTTCTGTTGCTGCTTCATTGTAAAGCTTTGTTGTACAAAGCGCAGCCTTTCACCGTTATAACAGATTTGATTTTTAATAGTAATAAACAAATGCATAATTGCAATCGTTTGCAAAAAAAAAGTGCAAAACTTAGAAATTTCACTCTACTTAAACGATTTTTATACATTTTATATAACAACTTCAACAGCAACAACAATAACAGTAGCCACAGCAGCTGCTGTTGGCAGCGACTTTCACGAAAAATGCAAGCAAAACTGCAGAGGGAGCGAGAGAGAGTGAGAGGGAGAGAGAAGCTGAGGAGCTTTCTCCTTATGGGTCGGCCTTTGCCTCGACTGCGCTGCGCGGTGCTGCGTTCGTAAAAGGCAAATGGACGCAGCGCAACGCAACGCAACGCAACGAAGTTAACGACTGACTTCACACAAAGACAATAAGCAATTCCAACAACAACAACAAATAAGAAACGTAGCGAAACGAAACGAAACTTAACGATAAAACGAAACTTGAGCGTGGGAGTTTACAAAAATTGATATGCCCTCAAGTGTTGACATCTCGGTCCCCCCTTCGCCATACACACACACACATTTATATGTATATGCATGCAGACATGCAAATGTATGTATGCACGTATGATGACGAAGAGCATAAATGAGCAAGGCGTAGTCGAAGAGAAATTGCATGAGCCAATGGGGTGGGTGTCTGGCCATTGTTACTGGCGTTGTTGTTGTTGCTACTGCATTTAGTAGCGGAAGTGAAGAGATGAGCAGGCGCTAAGAGTAGTTTCTCTTTTCTTCTTCTTTAAATCATTTACATTGGCATGGAAGATCACATTATTTAAATTAAATTGCCAGCTCGTTTCTGTGCTGTTGTTGTTGAATTTATCTTTGCATCGCATATGTGTGTGTGTGTGTGTGTGCAAAATGAAAAGCATTTCCTTTTCTTCAAAGCGTTTTTCACTCAACTCATTTGTTGCTGTTGTTGTTGGACGAGTGAAAGGAGCATTTTCTGCCGCCGCCTCTGTTTGTTGTTGCTGTTTTTTTTTTTTTTTTTTTATGTTTTGTTGCTGTTGGTGAAAACGCCAACAATAACAACAGCAGCTACAACAGCAACAACAACCACCAGCCGAGTGAAAACTCATGCGATAATTTGTTGTAAAAATGAAAATTTTCACCATTTTTATTATTGGCCTGCCTTTTGTTGTCGACATTCGTTTGTTCGCTGTGCGGCGGAGGCCTTTTTTTCTTTCTATCAAATTTCATTTAAATGCTAATGAAAAGTTGCCGGAAATGTGTTTCGACTTCAATTATATAACAAGCAACTTTTGTTTTGGCGGAAAATTGGTGAAAAGTTGTTGCTCAATTTGGCGCGATTTTCGTTTTACAAGACAGGCAGACGGACAGACAGACAGCTGTAAAGACCCCAAATATGTTTGCTTTTTTCTTTTGTTTGCCTTTTCATCTTCTACTCCTTCACGTTCGGATTTGTTGCCCATCCCTTCCTCTCCTACTCTCTTTGCTAAGGGCAGCTAAGCCGATCTATAATGCGCAGCTTAACACGTGCTGCTCTTTGTCATAAATTCTCTTTGCTTTGTTGACCTGCCAGTCTTTCATTCTCCCTCTCCCTCTCTCTATTTCTCTTTCTGCTGTGCCCGCACAATTGAATGGAAGCATTCTGTGCAACGGTTAAGATCACTCAAGGTGCTGCCTTGGCAGCGTGTCCATGACCAAATGCATTCGATTCAGCTGCCCATGGCGTCGGCGACGGCAGCGACCGCGACTGCGACTGCAGCAGCAGTAGACAAAAGGCATGAAAAGGCTGGACCTAAAAATAAGCAGCTGAATTGAGTACAGTAAAGATATATAGATTGTAGGTAAACACTCATGGCTACTTTAATAGAATTTTACTTATTATTATTAATATTTATATTTAATATATATTAATATTTTCCACATTTGTCTTGTCCTACAATTCCCATTCAATATATAAGCATATTTTCCTATTTCAGTTTTCTTTCGTTAAGTAGTTTGGGTCCAGCCTAATCAGCTCGAGTGCTGAGTCATTGCTCACGCGCTGGGAGTTCTCGCCGATTGCTGTAACTCATTAATCATCGTGAGCTTTAACTGTGCACTGCGGCTGCCCGAAAATCACTTTGGCTTAGCTTTACGCCCCCTTCCCAACCCGCACGGTTTAACCTTAACTACGAACTTGTGCGCCATGGGCTTTGCCTTGTGGCGCCGACGACGCCAAACCGTGTTTGAGCTGAACATTTCCAATGTCATAATAAACAAAAAGTTTCGACTCGAGCCCTTCAGCAACCGCAGCAGTAGTCGCAGCAGCAGCACCAGCAGCCGCAGCAGAGCAAAAAAGAGAGCGCAAAAAGCGTATGAGAGACGGATGGTAGCTTGTGCTGAGCAGGTGTTTGTTTCTGTTCGCGTGTGAGTGTGTGTGTGAGTGTGCGTGTTTCGTTCAATGCCAAATCAATGTCATTAACATTAAAGCACACTCACTAAAAATTGTATAAAGCTACTTGAAGGTACTAAACCCGACGGCGATGACGACTCGGCGGTTGACTGCCCCGCATGATTGACGTCGGCGTCGGCGCTGACTGCGCAGCTGCTTGTTATTTCTGTTGTTATTTCTGCTGCTGCTGCTGCGGCTGGTTGCTGCTGGCAACTGTTTCCGATGCTGTTTTACGGTTTGTTCACCTTGATAAAATTCGCGTCAACCTTTTAACACACGCACGCGCTGTCACACACAGGCGCATTGAAGGTCCTTTTCAAGCAATTCGGATGGCCATGGCAGAGCAGCGGGCAGCGGGCGACGGGCGGCAGCGGCAGCGGCAGCTGAGCAGTGAACATTTTGTGGCAACTCTTAGGAAAATCTCATTCAGCCTTGTAGAGATTTTTCCGTGTTTTTCTTTGCTTAATTGTATATAAAAATGTTGCTGCATCTGCACCCAGAGGTCTCTTTGTTATTTGTCTAGCTATAGCAGATCCTCCCTCTCTCTTAATCCATCTCTCCCTCTCTCCCTCTTTCTGTCTCTCGCCCGCCCATTGTTTGCTGTCAATTTTCCACTCTTGGCTACAATTTTTGGTCTATTGTTTGCTGTCATCTGCAGGCTCTGCCTGTGACTTATTCTTGTCTCAGCATCCTGTGACGCATCCGTGTTGGCCGTCTTGCCAGATTTACCTTTAATTTTGGCAGCCCACACAACGGTTGCAGAGTTTCAGTGTTTAGTTACAATTTGCTGCTTTGGCTGAACAGACGCGTCTGCATCGCTCATCGACTGCTAATAGCAGAAATAACTCAGCTCGCGCTCTTTGCTCACTCCTTAAGTCAGGCAATCGTAGCAAGAAAAGCTTTTTAGTGAGCGCGCTCAGAGCTTTGAGCTCGCTCTCTTTCTCTACTCTCCCACTCAATCGACGAGGGATAACGGTTAATGCTCAGCTTTGCGCACGCGTCTTTGTCGCAATTATGCGCAGTGCAGATTTTGGCGCATTTTACTTTGTAATCTCGTCTCTTCATTGTGCTTGTGCCTGTGCCTCGTGTGTCTTGTCTCCGTCCCGTTACAATTTGTTTTAAATAAGAAAGAATTTAGTGTAATTTCGTGTTCTTCTGTCGTGTGCGCATTGTGTGCGTGTGTGTGTTCAAGCTGGAGAACTCATTGCTGCTAAAGCTGCTCAATCTCTTGGACAGACACTCCAGATCCGACAGTCGCTTCGTCAAGATTGAGTTCGAGCGCAGCATCATGGAGATACTGCAAGAGCCAAGGTGCTCAATTATATATTATATATTAATCTCTATATACATATATAGCTGCAATTCAATCTAACCACACTTTATACTAATTCGCCCTGTCTCTCTTTGCTTCTTCTCTTGCAGATTGCCGGTTAACGAATGTCAGGCAAGCCAAACAGCTAGAGTCACCTCGAACCTGCACGCATCCAGTAGCACAATGGCGGTCAGTCGCGTACCCTCGCCGCCCCTGCCGGAAGTAAATACGCCAGTCGCTGAGAACTGGTGTTACACGCAGGTAAGGCGCCCGTCACCCGATAACCCGACACCCGATTAACGATTGCCGTTTATCGATGCCCTCTTTGTCCCTGTACGCCTGGCTCATCTGCCTGGGGATTAGGTTTCAGTTTCTGTATGCATTTTTCTTTGCATTTCTATGGATTTTCCTTAACATCTCTGCTCGAATTTCATTTCTGTAAGCCGAATCCAGCTTTGTGGAAACTGCATTTCCGCTCGTTACGCAGGTGTGCGCTTCCAGCCAAACCAAAACTGCATTCATTGACCCATGAATGAGTTTAGCTGGTAGATTAACTATATACTAAGGAATAAATGTTCATGTAGATTGTTTAGGTGGATTGATTGAAGATCAACATAAAGTGGTAGAGCCAGCTAACAATATGCATAATTTGATTCGAAAGGTTCTTCTTTCCTCCAAGCAATCAGATTTGCAAACTCTGAAAATGTAAGGGAATCTACATATCTCTATGAAAGACTTGTCTGCATAATATTCAGATCTTAAAGCAAATTCTTGTTACATTCAAAATCTAACGGTCTTTTATTCATTTCATTTACAGGTCAAAGTGGTTAAATTTAGTTATATGTGGACCATAAATAACTTTAGTTTTTGTCGAGAAGAAATGGGTGAAGTGCTCAAATCTTCCACATTCTCAGCGGGTGCTAATGACAAACTGAAATGGTAAGTAAATTTGGATTTGATATATTGTATTATATATACCATATAGATCTCTCATATTCTACCATATTAGATTATATAATCTGACTAACTTGATAAATCTTCTGTTTCGCTTAGGTGTTTACGGGTAAATCCCAAGGGTCTAGATGAGGAGAGCAAGGATTACTTATCATTATATTTACTGTTAGTATCGTGTAACAAATCTGAAGTCAGAGCCAAGTTCAAATTTTCCATATTAAACGCAAAACGTGAGGAAACCAAAGCCATGGAATCCCAACGGTTAGTAACTCGCACGATTCCAGATGTTATCAGAATGTTTTACTATATCTATTCGATGCTTCCATAACTTTGCAGCGCATATCGTTTTGTTCAGGGGAAGGATTGGGGCTTTAAGAAATTTATACGCCGCGATTTTCTCCTGGACGAGGCCAACGGCCTGTTGCCAGAGGACAAGCTGACCATCTTCTGCGAGGTGAGCGTGGTGGCGGATAGCGTCAACATCTCGGGACAATCCAACATAGTGCAGTTCAAAGTGCCCGAGTGCAAACTCTCCGAGGACCTTGGCAATCTCTTTGACAATGAGAAATTCAGCGATGTCACGCTCTCCGTGGGCGGTCGAGAATTTCAAGCGCACAAAGCCATATTGGCAGGTAAATATAGAGGATATATCTCTCTGATCTGATCTAGAATCTAATAAACCCCTCTCCTTCCTCCCTCTCTCTCCCGTGTGCAGCGCGCAGCGATGTCTTTGCTGCCATGTTTGAGCACGAAATGGAGGAGCGTAAGCTGAATCGTGTCGCCATAACCGATGTGGATCATGAGGTGCTCAAAGAGATGCTGCGATTCATATACACGGGCAAGGCGTCCAATCTAGAAAAAATGGCTGATGATCTCTTAGCGGCTGCTGATAAGGTGAAGAACTCGATCCATGCTGAATAGCTGAATGCTGAATGTCCATCCATTTTCATTGTAACTAATTGTTGTATGTCTCTCTGTCAACTGTTACAGTATGCACTCGAAAAGCTGAAAGTGATGTGCGAGGAGGCGCTGTGCGTCAATCTCTCTGTTGAAACAGCAGCCGAAACGTTAATATTAGCTGATCTCCATAGTGCGGATCAATTGAAAGCACAAACGATAGATTTCATTAATACGTAAGTGTTTGCCCACAAGAAATTGCTTTAGCTTTCTCATGACTGTGACTAACTGTTGTCTCATTTACAGTCATGCCACCGATGTGATGGAAACCTCTGGCTGGCAAAATATGATTACGACACATTCACATTTGATAGCGGAGGCATTTCGTGCGCTCGCAACACAACAAATCCCACCAATTGGACCACCAAGGAAACGCGTGAAAATGAGCTGAAACCTTAATCCAGCAGCTAACCATGTAACACTAAATGCAACGGCAACAGGCAGCAACAACAGCAACACCAATAACAACAACATCAGCAACAACAACAAGAACCACAACAACAATACCTACAATAATAACAATAATATTAACAACAATTGTAAAATAGATTTAAAACGTGGCATGCAAATTGTTAATTTGATCAAGCAATTCATATGCTATGCTGCAACAACAAGAGCAACTATTATTCATAACAACAACTATTGTCAAAGTTGCATGCAATTGTTGTTTAGCTTGAATAAGTCTACGAATACTGTTATCCATAACAACAACAACAACAATTGTAAAGAACATTTCGAATGTTGCCTGCATATGCATTTTTTGATCAACACTAAAAAACCAACAACACCAACAATAAGTGCAGCTACAAATAATATAAACACCAACAGCAACAACAACAACAACTGGTTTAAGCCACAACAACAAGCATTCTATATGCCGATTATTGTTTCAATATCGAGTAATTTAATTTTCAAACACTTGATAAATGTAATATTTTTATTTTGTTGATTTATGATTTATGATTAATGCTTAATTTTAAGATGAAATTACAAAAAAAAAAAAAAATAATAATTACAGTAAAAGTAAAATAAATATATAATAAAATTAAAAAAAAAAAAAATCAAACAAGCAAAAAACACAAAAAAACAGAGAAAACAACACAAAATCAATAAGAATAAAGTGTGCATAAGGAGAAGTAGATGTAGAAGATGATAATGATAATGATGATGATGATAATGTAACGAAAAGAAAGGCAAACATAAACATAAACGAAGAATAATAAATTGCATAACTATTATAATTATTATTATGAATTATGATTATGATTATGATTATTATTATTATTATTATTATTGTATAACTATATTATTATATTACAAAGCGTACACTTTGATTGTGATGTATATTCGATGAGTATGACTAATGCATAATGATACGGATATGATAATGAAGTTGATTTATATATTGTGTATATGTAAACTCTGCTAATTCAATTCAAGAGAAGCCAGCATTCGAACCTTTTTATTTTTGTATTTAACTAAACAGCAACAACACCAACAGCCACAACAGATTGTAAACCTCTTCTCTTTTCGTTAAAAAAGAAACAACAACAATAAACTTTAATGTTTTTTTCTTTATTTTAAGTATTTAATGCAATCTTCTTCATTTCTTGTAAAAAAAAACAAAACAAAACAAAACAAACAAAAACTCTTAAGAGAAAACAACTTCAAATAAAAGCAAATTGTAGCACTCTGTGTATAGTAAGCAAAAAACAACAACAACAAAATGAGCAAGTTTTACTGGATCAAGGTTAGATATATACGTATATATATATACATAGAGTTTTAGATGACTCGAGTCTAGTCAAGACTTTCTTCTCTTTCAGCAAAACAAAGGAACAAACGAACAAACGAACGAATAAACTAAAAAGTGATAATCCATAACAACTACAAATAAATTAATAAATAAATAATATTCAAATTTTGTTAAGAGCAAGAAAAATCGAACCTAACCTAGCACCGCTGCATTCAGCTAGAATTTTGGGGCTAAGAAACAAGAAACAACAACAAAATTTGTAAATACATTTAGCAATAGTTATTTTTGATTCCAATACGAATGCACAATATAAATCTGAACAATGTTTGGCACAGCATATGAAACTAATTGAAATTTGTGACGTTGATTGATTGATTAATGGGTGACGGATCCGGATTGATTGAGGCGGCGCATTGCTGTGCGAAAGTTTGTTTAGTTCAAATATCAAAATGCAAAAAACATATTAAAGCTACTAAGGAGACATTTTTATGCATGCCAATCTAAATGTGTAGAAAACAATAAACAATTGAAGAAAGCAACTGGGATCGAGAGTACGAGTACTTATATATATATATAAACTTATATATATGTATGCATATGTAATAGAACTAAATAGTAAAACTGGGGCGGGGTGAGGGCGGTTACAACACGGGCGAACCAGAAGCAAAACCATTTTTAAAGTGACATATTGTAATTGTATTTAACAAATTAGATAATAAATTAATATGTTCTAAATATGTTGCGCCTATTTCTTCTCCTGCTCGTCGAGAAACTGTTGCAGGAGCGAGGCATCGATTGGTATGTTCAGCTGCTCGGAGCCATCCACACTGCGCTTCGACTTGACCAGTTTGTGATCCAGAAACTCTGTCAGCTGGGCGCGCAGTGCCAGGTCGGAGCTAACCAGAAAGGCCTCGCGACAGCTCCAGTAGAGGTCCTTGAAGGGCATGCCCTGATAGTTGGCATTGCCCTTGTTCTTCAGCTGATACTTGACAATCAGCATGTAAATGCCGCGCGAGTTCGTCGTCAGCGAGGAGAAGACGCTGCGCAGCGAGGAGAGCGCCAATTCGCCAGAGTTCTGCACCAGCAATGAGTTCTCGAAGGCCGTCTCGTCCGTGTAGGGCAGCATGGTGGTGCAATCCCACCAGGAGAAGTTAAAGTTGCTCAGCTTGTTCTGGTCCCAAACTAAAAACGGGAAGAGGAGGAATTAGTAGTGAAAGATGAGCAGGAGGAGGCAAGCTCGACTAGGGGATACCCATGTTGAGCTTGAGCAAAGAGGAAAGATCTTCAAATTATCCTATGGAGTAGGAGTTGGAGTCTGGAGTTGACTCTAGCTACATATGTATAATGCTGTCAACGAATATGCCTCTCTTACTGCACTGGATACGTCATGTTTACTTACGCAAAGGTGTATTGATATGATCAATCGAGGCCAATAGGTGAATGTTGGGCACGCGTGCCAATCTGGATAGAATGTCCTGAGCTTTGACGTTGCGCAGCATAGCGCCGTCTAGATTGTGAATGATCAGAAAGAGATGTGTTTCAGGTATAAGTGCAAACTCCTCCTCGATCATGTCGACGGCCTCGTGTGCATTGGCTGGGCTCGGGCCAGCATCTAGAATCTCGCTGGTAATACTGTCCAAGACGTCCTTCAGAGTCAGGCTGGGAAAGAAGCCATTGATCACTAACACCGTTTGCTGGGCGAGAATCTCACGATGAAAGGATTGCAGCAATTGCCGCTTTGAGCCGAGGCCGTAGAGCAGAATGTTGAAGCCTTCGTTGAGAATGCACATCCATTTGGCAAAGTACGAGCGATACTCCTCCATAATGGCATTGATGGCCATCTCGTGCTCTGGCGAGGCTTTCATATCTGCCAGCAGACTGAACAAACGATCAGCGGCTAATCGTGGATTCTTCAAGCGATCCAGCGTGTGATCCGACGTGAGAATCTTGCTGCTGGCATGAGAGTGAAAGTAGCCATCGCTCTCGGGTACGAACTCATTCGATCTCTTTACCCGCGCCGATTGCCGCTGGCGAGCAGCTGATGGCGTCTTCGGCAGCACCGGCACGACTATTGCGCGACGAGCCTTTGATGGCGTCTTGGACTCATCATCTGCGCCATCGTTCTCAGAACTGCCACCGTCTTCACTGCTGCTGCTGCTGCTACTCGAGGAATTGTCGTCGTCTGGACGAAAGTCGCTGTCATCCGCAGAGAAATCCTCATCGGAGTCAGCCACAATTTTGGCAATCTCTATAATAAAATATAACATGTTTTTAGATCGTAAATTAAATGGAATTCCATACGCGACGCACGTTGTTTCACCCTAGTTCTGACGTGTGCCGGAGTCTTGGGCTGATCTGCCTTTTTGCGCTTCGTGTCTGGAGTCTTGACGCCCAGTCGCGGCGTCTTTGGAGTCTTCGGTGTGCTGGGCGTGGCATTAAGTGCAGCTAATGCCATAGCATCGCGCTTCTTGGGTGTGTTAAAGCCGAATAAGCTTGTGCCCGCTACATTGTAGTCGGCCTGTATTAGCTGCAGATCCCGTGAATTTGGCTTTGCGGCACCCATGTTCTCTTCATCATCTTCTTCAGACTGGGACTCATCCTCCGCATAGTTGATGTCACGCTGCCCACCGGACTTGGCCTTGTACTCTTTATACTTCTTAGTGGGACTCGGTCTGCGTGTGGAGCGTCGTGTGCGTGTCTGCTCCTCGGGCTCAGCAGCACTTGAACCGTCAGAGTTCACTAACTCAGTCGATTTCAGACGCCGCTTTGCATCTTTCTGTTTCTTTGGTGTCTTGTACTCTCCGGCAACTGTGTGTATTTTTGTTGGCGTCGTAGTCATTTTATATATTGTTTACACACCACTACTAACAAAAGCTGTTTATTAAGATATAATATACAAATACAACATTTGTTGTTTTTGCCGCGTTTTGTAAACTTTTATCGAATAATCAACTTCATTTACTGATCATGGACTATCGATTATGAATTTGAATTCAATAAAAACACTAACCAGAGAACACATAGACCGGACAAGTAGTGTAAAGCGTTTTGCACACTTTTTTTCGGGAGTTATCTCCCAGACACTTCGTATTTGCTCGGCTCTTCACTTTTTGGGTTCGAGCTACGAAAACATACGAAAGCACAATCATTTCACTTCATGCGCTCGACCGAGATGGTCGACTGTTGAACAAAGGATCCCTCTGCGCTGAATGTTTCCCTTGCTCTCTCTCTCTCACGATGCTCTCTGCTCTCTCAAATATGTATATGTATGTATGCATGTGAGCACAAGCAGCGCTCACAAATTGAAATTTCTTCGCAGCGAGAGCCCATGCCTACCCTTATGTGTGAAGAGTATACCGAACTTTTCAAACCGTTTGCCATGCGTTTTCGTTATTATTTGTGGGAAGGGTATGAAGGCGTTGGTGCGCATAATGAAAATGTGTTCGCGACGAGCATGCACACACACACTTACAGTATGCTACATGTACTATGAGCATTTGTATGCCTGTGTGCGAAGCTCTTGCTGCCTGTAGCAATTTTAAATCCCAGCATTTGCATTTGGTCGATCTTGTGAAGTGCTCACATACATATGTATGTATGTATGTATATACATTTGATTGTGTGTACGCATGGGAGACGCTGCTCACAATTTTGGGATATAACTTGTAGAAGCACTTGTATGCCTGTGTGCCTTTACATGTGCGTGTGTGTATGTGTTTGTATGTATGCATGGGAGATGAACATTAGCGTGTGCCTCCCTCAACTTAGAATGGTGTGAACGATTTTGGGCTTTGATTGAAGAGGCGCGCTTTTGTTTAAGTACCTGTTTTGATTCAATGATCGTGGGTTTACCTATCAGAATGAATGTTTTTTAAAAATGTGGTACCTGATTAATTCCAATGGGCAAAATGGGATGTGTTTTTTTAACCCTTGCACTTGTGCATACATATGTAGGTCAATTTGACACCTTTTTAAAAAGATGAATACGTAAATAGGTCAAATTGATCATTTTTACAAAAATTTGGATTAATCAGGTACCACATTTTTAAAAAACATTCATTCTGATAGGTAAACCCACGATCATTGAATCAAAACAGGTACTTAAACAAAAGCGCGCCTCTTCAATCAAAGCCCAAAATCGTTCACACCATTCTAAGTTGAGGGAGGCACACGCTAATGTTCATCTCCCATGCATACATACAAACACATACACACACGCACATGTAAAGGCACACAGGCATACAAGTGCTTCTACAAGTTATATCCCAAAATTGTGAGCAGCGTCTCCCATGCGTACACACAATCAAATGTATATACATACATACATACATATGTATGTGAGCACTTCACAAGATCGACCAAATGCAAATGCTGGGATTTAAAATTGCTACAGGCAGCAAGAGCTTCGCACACAGGCATACAAATGCTCATAGTACATGTAGCATACTGTAAGTGTGTGTGTGCATGCTCGTCGCGAACACATTTTCATTATGCGCACCAACGCCTTCATACCCTTCCCACAAATAATAACGAAAACGCATGGCAAACGGTTTGAAAAGTTCGGTATACTCTTCACACATAAGGGTAGGCATGGGCTCTCGCTGCGAAGAAATTTCAATTTGTGAGCGCTGCTTGTGCTCACATGCATACATACATATACATATTTGAGAGAGCAGAGAGCATCGTGAGAGAGAGAGAGCAAGGGAAACATTCAGCGCAGAGGGATCCTTTGTTCAACAGTCGACCATCTCGGTCGAGCGCATGAAGTGAAATGATTGTGCTTTCGTATGTTTTCGTAGCTCGAACCCAAAAAGTGAAGAGCCGAGCAAATACGAAGTGTCTGGGAGATAACTCCCGAAAAAAAGTGTGCAAAACGCTTTACACTACTTGTCCGGTCTATGTGTTCTCTGGTTAGTGATAAAAATCATTTTTTAGTTCACTTTCGCATTTTACAGCACTGCAAAAATTTAAATGTTGAAAGCCGCCAATTGGCAATTTCGGTATCATTAAAAGTACAAAGTATATAAATACAAAAAATAGATTATAAATCTATTGTTATATATTTTATATGATGATTAACATTTGTTTAAGCTTACATTTAGACATAACATACAATTAACTTTTAGCAGTTTTAATCGATTGCCGTTTACCGATATATCGCGAAGAAATGCATCACTAACTGTGAGTCAGGCGGTTTAGCGTGCGGCAATTTTTCACTGAAATCAGTAGCAGTGCTTGAATAATTTTTATAAAATTTTTATTAAAAGTCGCACAACACAGACGAAACATGTCGACATTGGCAAGTCCCTTATCCATCGCAGGCACACGGCAGTCCGGCGCTTCTGTGCGCTCACAGAACGGTAAGAAATCGTGGTGTGCAGCAACAGCTGCAGTCATTGAAATAAAGTTGCCGGGGCAGAAGCACGTTGCCAATAAGACCCCCAGATGGTAGTGAAGAATATTCTCGAACGAGTTGTTAGCAATGTTATTTTATTTGAAATTCGTTAATTTTGAAAGAAATAAACAAAAATAAAGGAATATCAAACACTGTCTAGCTTAAAGTGAGGTTAGGACGTCCATTCATGATTCTAATATGACTCCTTTTCACAGTTATGGCTGCGCTGTCCATATCGAATATTGTCAAGAGCTCTCTGGGTCCAGTTGGCTTGGATAAAATGTTGGTCGATGATATTGGCGATGTTACAATTACCAATGATGGAGCAACTATTCTTCGTCTGCTCGAGGTGGAGCATCCAGCAGCAAAGTAAGTTAATTAAATCTTGGTTATTGGTTGGATCTAAACTGATCATTCATTCTATTTAAGGGTCCTGGTGGAGTTGGCTCAGTTGCAGGATGAGGAGGTTGGCGATGGCACCACATCCGTTGTTATATTGGCTGCTGAGTTGTTGAAGAACGCCGACGAACTGGTCAAGCAGAAAATTCATCCTACATCCATTATTTCGGGTTATCGCATTGCCTGCAAGGAAGCATGCAAATACATTTCAGAGCACCTGACTGCTCCAGTGGACGAGCTAACCCGCGACTCCCTGATCAATATCGCCAAGACTTCAATGAGCTCCAAGATTATCGGCGCCGACGCGGACTTCTTTTCCACCATGGTCGTAGATGCGGCTCAAGCTGTTAAGATCACCGATCCCAAGGGACAGGCAGCCTACTCAATCAAAGCCATCAACGTGCTGAAGGCGCATGGAAAGTCGGCTCGCGAATCTGTGCTGATACCCGGATACGCCTTGAACTGCACACTTGCTTCACAGCAAATGCCTAAAAAAATAGTTAACGCTAAAATTGCCTGCTTGGACTTCTCGCTGCAGAAGACCAAGATGAAGATGGGAGTCCAAGTATTGATCAATGATCCCGACAAGTTGGAAGCCATTCGCGCACGTGAGCTGGACATCACGAAGGAGCGCATCAACATGATTTTGAGTACCGGCGTCAATGTTGTCCTCTCCAGTGGCGGTGTCGATGATCTGTGCATGAAGTACTTCGTCGAGGCAGGTGCCATGGCGGTGCGTCGCGTTAAGAAGAGCGATCTGAAGATCATTGCTAAGGCAACTGGAGCTGCATTCCTTACCTCGCTGACCAACATGGACGGCGAAGAGAGCTTCGATGCCTCGATGGTGGGCGAAGCGGCTGAGGTGGCCCAGGAGCGCATCTGCGATGACGAACTCATTCTCATCAAGGGCACAAAAGCACGGTAATATAACTTAGGTACATAATCAGAGAAAGTTCATCTGAATTTCTTCTGAATTTGCAGTGCTGCTGCTTCCATAATCTTGCGTGGTCCCAACGACTTCTACTGTGATGAGATGGAGCGTTCCGTGCATGATGCTCTCTGCGTGGTGAAGCGTGTGCTGGAAAGCAAAAAAGTAGTTGCTGGTGGCGGCTGCGTGGAGGCGGCTTTGTCGATATACCTCGAGAACTTTGCTACATCGCTGTCATCGCGGGAGCAGCTGGCCATAGCCGAGTTTGCCAAATCGATGTTGGTCATTCCCAAGACTTTGTCTGTTAACGCAGCCAAGGATGCCACCGATTTGGTGGCCAAGCTGCGCTCCTACCACAACTCCAGCCAGACCAACTCCAAGCATGCCGACTTAAAGTGGACTGGCTTGGATCTGATTGAGGGTGTGGTGCGCGACAACAAGAAGGCAGGTGTGCTGGAGCCGGCCATGTCTAAGATCAAGTCCCTGAAGTTCGCCACAGAAGCAGCGATCACCATTTTGCGCATTGACGACATGATCAAGCTGAATCCCGAGGACAAGAGCGGCAAGAGCTACGGCGATGCCTGCGCCGCTGGCGAGCTGGACGGTTAGGCCGTTGCATGGTCACCTCTTCTATTTGTTTAGGCACTTAATATTATGGAACACTCACTGAAAACTTACACGCCTCCCATTACAATAATTGTAACAACAATTTAATTGTTCTTTCTTTGTGCTAACTGCGATTTGTATTAACCACGCATTCATTTCTAAGTTCTCCCCTCATTCACGTAAAATGCATAATAAATGAAACATCTGAATATGCTGCGGCGTATACGAAACTAAATTCTAAACTGAATGTTTATTAATTGAGTGTCGACTGCTGAGAGTTGTGAGAGACATAGAACGAGAGCGGGAGAGATCAACTTGAGAGAGTCTATTAATAGCGCCTGCATCTATTTTGTCTATAAATACAAAAAGAAAACAGAATGTGCTAAAGCAAAACGTATAGCCAGCGTGTGGAATAATTTTAATAAAATTTTAGAAAAATTTAACAAAAACGAAATGTCTGCAAGCAACAGCACGGAAGGTGATCTGAATAGTAATGAAACAGTGGCTGCATCTGCAGCTGCTGGACAGGATGAACCAGTGGAGCAAGCGGAGCAGGTAGCGGGGCAGCCAAAAAATGAGCTACTAGACATGGTATTCGTATTGGAGAGCGAGAAGCAGGCGCTGATCGAGGAGTCTCGCAAAAGAATCGGAGCACTGCGCAAAGATTTTGAGGTTAGTTTTGAAAGATCAGTATTTTAATTAAGATTCGATTTGAAGGGTAAATCACGTTTAGGATGCGCGCTGTGAGAATGAGCGTCTGCAGAAGCGGGTGGCCAATTTGGAACAGTCACTAAAGCAATCAGTGATGCTTGGTGGAACAGATGCACCGAAATCTCGACAGGAACAGGAGGAACTGCTGCTCAAAGCCAAGACATTGCTGTTCGAAAAGACCAAAGTGAACAAGCAGCAGGAGCAACAGATAGCCGTACTCAAGAATCAAGTGGAGTCCATTAAGGATGTGCTGCAAGTGACCAAAGATATGCTTCAGCTGAAGACCACAGAGTGCGAGCACACCCAGGCGCGCCTGGAGAAGAGTCAGCTGTGGATCAAGGCCGAGCAGGATAAGTGCGCACTCACCGAAAAGAAACTTGCGATATCGAAATCCGTTTACGATAAGCTACGCGCCGAATACGATACGCAATCTAAGATCTTTAAGGTGAGTTAAGGACCTCCTAGTAAACTATATACTGTAACTCGAATCGATCTCCGTAGGACTTGAAGTCAGCCTATGAACAAAAGTTGAAGGTGCTGACTGTCGCGTTAGCCGAAGCCAAAAAGTAGTTGAACAATTTAATAAACTACACATGATAATTAAATGCACAAATATTCTTTAGAAGTTCAATAATTTAATCAAATTTGTCCTGGCGCTCGTCTAGGCGCTCTGCTTGCCCTGCTGCTGTTGCTGTTGCTGCTGAATCATTTTTAGGGCTGCCGCCTGCTTCATTTCCAGCACACCGATCACAGAATTAAGGAAACGCGTCTTTTGCAAATGTATCTTCTCGATCTTTTCAATCTGTTCCTGAACATACTCGACGCGTCGCTTGAAGTAATCCTTGGAGCCTTGCAGATCCTGAAACAAAACTCATCAGCATACCATAAGAATTGCAACTGCAATTGGTAGTCACCTTTTCGATGTAGTAGCCGGTGCCGATATCTATGACGAAGTTGTTCAAGTCCTTTATGCGACCTGGCACATACATGCTGCTTGTTAGAGGAACGAGTATTTGACGGTTCTCCCAATCCGGCTGAAATGCTTCGAGGGCATCTTTAGAGCCGGCGTATTTAGCTTTGCAGCTGTGCAAAGTGGATAGCGAATCCTGTATGTTGGTCATTTCCTGAACATAAATGCAATTATTATTAACATGTGCAACTGCTGCGGCATTGCAACGCCCTCCCGTCTCTCTCATTCTTTCTCTCTGCTGAGCAACACCCACATGCGACTGGCACACACTCACCTGCTCGAACTCTTGCTTGATTTGCATTAATTGGTCCGGACTGAGATTGGTGAGATCAATCATCTCGGACTTTGCCGCAGCATTTGCACTTCCAGCCATAATTTGTGCTTAAACTTATAACTTAAAAATCGTAAACTTTATTATAATAGTCACACGCAAATCGTGCAGTGTTGTATTATAGCTTTTGGAATACCTTCGATAGCATGACTCACGAAACGGAACTAGTTCATCGATGACAAATATTACACATGCTATATTGTTGTTATTGTCGGATATATCATCAATGTCTGTCTAAATAAAATTGGTATTTATTGCAAGAAGTGTCAAGCGTTTCGTAGCTCTATTTTTTTTTTTTTTAATTCAGCTTAAACAAATTTTATTCCAGAAATAAAATTGTTTCGCTCTGTTGATTAACAGGGGACCTATGGTCATTTAACAGTGGATCTAAATACTCATTTAACATCAGAGACATAATGTAATGCGCTCGAATACTACCTCTTAGCAGAGGCTCCCCAGTGTTGGTAAGTGATGCTTCTCATTTAAAGTATTAACGACCTTTGTTTTATAATTGTATTTTATTTATTATATGCAATGTTATAATTTCTTGTGTTTTGTCAGTCATTCTGTATTTGTATGCAATTTTATACCGTTATTTCCATCTCATAAATTATAAAATCTAACATAAAACAAAGCCATTTCATTAACAATCACTGCCGCTACATGTACGTCTAAATACACGTTACGATTTGCTATATAATATAGCCGTTACACATTGTCCATATACATATTCTTTGTCGCTATATACTGGGTATATGTGTCTGTGTGTGTCTGAGAGTGTGTCTGTGTGTGTTAATTTCGTATATATATATATATATTTATATTAGATAACAATGATATTAAGCCTAAATAGATATAAGTTTAAGTTGTATTGATACATTGTTTTGCATTTCGTACGCATCTGTTTATCGGTTCCTATTTATCGATCATTCAACTATTACATGCTTTAACTAATTTACTGTTACTCATTAAACTAACTGTACTTGCTGTCCTGACCCACTTATCATTTATGGTTTTGCGTTTATCATACATAACATTATTGTTTAATTCAATTTGATAGTTGTATTGTTGCTGTTTGGGGTTTTCTTGTTTATATATTCTTTATATGTTTCTAAACAATTTATTTATGGCTTGTAGAATTTTCAATAGTTTTCTTTTGAATAATCGCAAGGCAAAAATTTTAAATGAAAATACAAAATAAAAACTGAAAACTTTTGTGTGTTTTACTTTAAATGCAGAGAGTTTTTCTTGTGCAGCATTAACATTGTGAATGTATGTATATATATATAAACAAATATATATATATATGTATATATAGAGAGAGAGAGAAATTTGTCGTTATTTAAGTGGGAATCGTAATTTGGTTATCAACAGCATTTTAAAAAGTTTCAATTCGAAGGGACGTAATACATAATAATAATAATCATAATAATTCATTTCATTTTTTTACATTATATATTTGTTTTTGTTTGTGTGTATATTTGTTATATAGATACATGCATACATACATATACATATATATAAATTGTAAAGTATATATATTTATGCATGTGTATGTGTATATATATATATGTATGTGTGCATTGCATAGTGTTTAAATTGTTCTAAGTGTAAGTTTTGTTTATATTTTTCCTAGATTTCCTAGTTTGTTTTCTTTTCTTCAAGTTTTCCGTAACTCAAAAAATATATCAAAAATTTGTTTGAAATGCGATATAGATATATATATAAGTAGTTAGGAGTCAAATGTACACATATCTGAAGCATATATATATATATATATATATATATATATATATACATATATATATATATATATATATATATACTTTTGATATTGTTGAATTCAAAGAGAGCGAGAGAAATGAATGAGAAATTGATTTACCTAAGCGGGTGTGTCTGTACGTATGTGTGTGTATATGTATATACCCCAATATAAATATATATATACAAGTACATATACCAAATATATGGTTCGGAGTATATTTATCAAAATAAAATTCTTATACAAATAGCAGCAGAAAGATAACAAAATGAAAAAGCTGTCTACAAAATGTGATTTAAATGAATTGTCGTCTAGGTGAATATGCATGTGTGCGTGTGTGTGTGTGTATATGTGTATGTATGTATGTATGTGTGTGTGTATGTCTTTATCTTATTGATAGTTGTTTTAGTTGCTGCTGATTGCGTATACGTCACGTAAGCCTCGAAAAATATGCACAAAGCGGCTCTAATACTGTAAAATTGTTGCTTGCTTCCATTATCATAACAGTTAACCGTTACCGTTACCGTTTCTCTAACCATTTTCGTTCTCGTTTCCGTTTCCGTTTCTTCATTTCATTCAGCTGTAAAGTAATTTTGCTCACAATTGGATAGCGTTTGTAAAGAAAGCTAGGTAGGTTCGCTTCAGTGTCGTGTGTCAAGTGTGTGTGTGTGTGTATTGGTGTTGGTGTCTTTTTAATTGATATGTCAGAGTTCATATTGCATAAGTGTTCTATGACAATATATAGTCTCAAATACATATACATATTCAAAGTATATAGTTTAGGGATATTTTTGGTTTTTGTTTTTTGGTTTAAACTTAAATTTAATTTCGGTTCTTCTATTTCAATTTGAATTTGAATTTGCATATTTGAATTTCAATTAAGCTTTGAACTAGAAAACTAGAAAAAAATGAATTTGAATTTGTCCTTCAATTACAAGCTGGGGGTTTCTTTCAACTTCAACTTCAATCTCAATTTAAATATTTAAACCAAATTTATATTTCAATTACAGACAATTTACAATTTTAAATATTTCATTTGATATTAAATTTCAATTATAATTGAAATTCAAATTACAAATTCAATTTCAATTTCCGTAATATGTATTGCTGCACGCTAAAGGAAAGGTAAAAATAGTTGCATTATAAAATTGATCGGTTGAAGCCAGTTTCAATCGAAAGAATCGAACATAAGCAGAGTTTTCTCCTCTTTAGCACTATTATTTGTATGATATCGTTTATAATATATATATGTGTATATATATATATACCTGTATATATGTATATACATATATGTATACCATATATATACATATATATAGTTAGATTACAGCACCACATTTTGTAACAAACAGAAACTGCTTATAGAACATTATATATATATATATGTATATATTATCATATATCATATATTGTATATTGGTTTCTTTATAATATTTAAATTACGTTTTACATAGATATTCGCTAACTTCATTTCATTTGCAGTTTTCATTTGTTTCAATGGGGCCAACATTGGATCGTTTTTTTTTTGTAGCGAAATATTTTACACAATTATTCGATTGGCTAGTGGCGTTATTAGTTATAACATAATGATATAATGCTAGTATACCTATATAGTATATATAGTATATATATAGTGTGATTCCTCCTCCATCTCCTTTCTTCTTCTTCTTTCCCTTTTTTTGTATTTTTCCTTTAGCAAGTCTTTAGTTTGAAGCTTTATAATTTCTTAGGCAATAATTTCTCATTTGCTGAATTTAATATTTCGTGTTAAATTTTGTTTTAAATAAGTTTTGCCCATTAAAACTTATGCATATGCAGCTAAAATATTATTATTTATAGATTTATATATATGTGTGTATGTGTGTGTCTGTGTGTGTGTGTGCATAAACATAATCAATCTATTGGCGTGGCTTCGCTTATTATCCGCTCTCCATCATTTTGTACCCTTCGCACGCCTTAAGGTTGTCAAATAAATACTCGTTCTTTAAGTATGCAATGGGGTGTATAGGTTTCTACAATCTGAATATGATATAAGGCATATGTAAGGGATGCCTAAACTTGATAAGCAGACAAGGGCTAGGGTATATAGCTATGCCTGCCCACAGGGCGTGGCACATAGAACACTCTATATATCGGCTACAGCTATCGATCTGCTTGATCTAGTCACATGCTCTCACAAAGGCAGGACAGTCGTTGATACCCGATTGCAAAATGTTTACATCGTTTGGGGAAATCGGATGTGAAATTGAATTTATTTGAACACACCTCGTCCATATATACATATATGACGTTTATACATGTATATATGCATGCATGTATGTATGTATATGTGTGAGGGGTATACTGAAGAGATCAACCTTTAGCTCGGCATTAAAGCTTTCTATGTGTGTGTGTGTGAGTGTGTCTTTGTATATTGCTAATTTGACGCTGGTTCTCCCTGGTGGCTTTGGGGCCTTACACATACCACTCCTTGACGTCCTTGGAGTCGCGCTTCTTGGCCTTGGGCTGCACGAGGCCCGCCATCTGGGGCCGTCCATCGCTGCCGTAGCCGAGGGAGCC